TGTTTTTTGTTATAATTCGATTTATTATTTATTTAATCTTTTTAAAAATATATTATATTTTATATTACATATTTTTTGCTACACGAGTTTCAGGTCTTGTGATCGTCATCAGGCGAAGAATGGTTATTTCCACATATTATTTAAAGGAATTATTCTTTTGCTTTTTTATGTTTTCCAATGATTATCCATTTTCTTAGAGCTAGTATTCAAATTTCTTCTCGAATTTGTGGAGAAAATATTCCCCTGCTTAAAGGGTAATAAAAAAAAAATTAGGATTGGTCAGACAAAGTTAGAAGGAAGTCGGTATTTTTTTCCTTTTTAATGACCTCTGTATCTCATTAATATATATATATATATATATATATATATATATATATATAAACACACACACACATATATATATATATATATATATATATATATATATATATATATATAAATGAAATAATAATAAAAAAAAAAAGAATATTAATCTTCAACGCAGTGTGTCTGAAGATTTTAATTTTTTATATTTTTATTGTTCAATATATATATATATATATATATATATATATATATATATATATATATATATATTAATAGGGCATCACCAATATATCCAAAAGTAAGTTGATTGATTAGATCAAATGTGTTGGAAAGAAGTAAATTCTAGAAATTCTAAGAAAATGCATTCCATCACTGCAATCAGAGTGGATCCCATTGTTAATCCAAATTTTTGTTTCCAAACAGGGTCATAGTAAGTGAAATAACATTCATTGGTGTTGAGACGGCAAATTTTTATTATCTTAGCTAGATGCGCATTTTTTTTGTTAGATGCTTTTTAAGATATTTAAGCAATTTGCCAACCGGGATATTAGTGGAAAATCATTTTATATCTAGACTGGTCGTGAGTTTGTCAGTCATATTTATTTCCCTTAGGTTTTGAACAAGGTTGCCTGAATTTTTTATATGTGATGGACATTGTCCCAAGCTTAATATTTTTACTATTGGGGAGTGTGCCTATTCCAGTAATGTTGGGGCACATACATACATACATACATACATTATATAGACACAAATATTTAAGTAGATGATCCTTTGTAACTAAACTGGTAAAGCAGATCCGGCTATATCACTATTTCGTGTAGGATATAGGTTCTATTCCTTTCGGGGGACACATATTTTATATATATATATATATATATATATATATATATATATATATATATATATATATATATATTTATTTAAAAAGAAACAGATCACTTTAAGGTACCATTATAATTCATTTCACCAGAGTCTTTTTAAAGGACGCTAGATCATCAGATAGCACTTCCAAAATTTCATCCTCCTTGGGATTACCCATACGGATTACCAAGTTCTTCGTAACAAAATATATATATATATATATATATATATATATATATATATATAAAGTCACACATTATGAAATGGACAGGATACAGGTTCGAATCTTGTCGGAGGACGAATATTTTCTGTGAAAATTTCTCGGACATTCAGGCCTGTAAATGTTGTTAATACTGTTTATTATAAACAAAGCATTTATTTAAGTATTTGTATCTATATAAATAACGCATAACAATAATATATATATATATATGTGTGTGTGTGTGTGTGTGTGTGTGTGTGTGTGTTATCTTTCCCTAAAATATTGTGTTTGTTAGTTGTTATTCAATTATCGGGCGTTTTAAATTCTTTAATTAAAATCATTGGAACTAAATCCAAACAAACTTATACGTGAGCACAGTCTATTTTTTTTGTTAAGTGAACCCTGCGCACATCGACGTCGTATAATGTTTAGAAAGCTTGTCCTGCTGAATCAATTACGACTGAATAGTGAGTTCGATCCTCACTGAATGCACCATACATTCGGCACTATGTTACATATAAGGTATGCTTTGAAAAAAAAAACATAGATTTTTTTTTTTATGATATACAAATTGTAGTTAAACATACATCAATTACATTCGTGCTGGCCATCATAGCCTTGCAGATCCGACTCCGTTCTTATGTTCCAGCTCCGACGACATTGTGCGCGTCTCTTCGGCTGGTGAAAGACGAAGAATTTATTCGCGCATACGCAGTCATTATGTGCGAAACATTCCTGTTGTGCCGTTGCTTTTGTTTCCAGAAATGGTGCAGCGACAATTAAAAAGCACTTTCGCTGGACAGATTTCATTGTTCACAATCCGTTAATTAAAATTTGGATGTTTCTCGAACGAATCAGATAGCCTAACATACAAATTACAAATAGGCTATACCACAATCAAGCAAGTACGACAATTTAAATATCTGGGACCCATTTTAACAGAAAATGGATAACGTGACCTCAACATCCAACGGAGCGTTAGAATAGCCGAAGATACATTTCAAAAGATAAGCAGAGTACTTAAGAAAAAAATTCTTAGAAACAAAGAGAAGAGTATTGAAATATTCCGTAATATCACTCAACACATATGGCTTTGAATACTGGACAATCTCCTCCCAGGTAAAGATGAATTTTTCAACAAATTCGCCTGATTTTTTTTATATCTGATGGATTTATGGTTCCAAGGGGAGGGGTTAAAATTTTTGCTATGGCTCAAGATATTTTTTGGAGGGGGCTTTCTATTCCAGTAATGATGTGGAGCATCTATATACACATACATATATACACATATATAGCAATGAGTCTAGAAGAATCGTCAACAGAATGCAGAAAGTGTGCATCCACTAAACCCGGGCCATTTAGGTACAACGCAAACGTCATACTAACTGTACCACGGAACTCGTTGACGAAGAAGACAAAAACTAGACTCAGTTCCGCAGCGATACTCATCCAAGTACTCAGATAACCTCGGAACAGTGCTTTTGTTTCTAATAAAATTTTCCTGTTTTTTTATACTCTGCTTACCCTTTGGAAATATATATATATATATATATATATATATATATATATATATATATATATATATATATATATATATATATATATATATATATATATATATATATATAGAGAGAGAGAGAGAGAGAAGATTGCAAATTAAAAAAATAATAATGTTTTATTTTATGAAAGTATTTATTTATATCTATATTTGATATTTCAAATTGTCCTCAATCTTTCATCAGAAATAACTGTTTTTTACAAATAAATTAAAATTACTGTTTGTTAGCAAGTAGTGTCCTTCGCGAGACGCGAACGTCACGTGATATGGAACGTCACTGTTCGGATATTCCTAACTTAAATCTAACTGTCATAAATATTTTAAATGTTGTTTAAAAAATTTTTTTAACTATATCTAAAAAAAAAAATTGCTTAACTATTGAAATATTTATAAAGATTTAAAACACCCAAGTCCCTATTCAACCCTAGTTTATGTGTATCTAATTTTAAGATCCAATATGTTTCTTTTTTTCTGCGTGTGTATGTGGAACTAAAATCGGAATCTATCAATAAACATTTGCAGTTTTCTAATGAGTGTCCTGATTGATTAAAGTGTTTAGCTATGGGGAATAAGGCTTGTTTTGACGTATGGTTTGTTTATGATTATTGAAACGAAATCTAAAATTATTTCCAGATTCACCAATATATCCACTATTAGGACATAAGGTGCAGAATAAATAATAGATTACGTTATGGCTATCGCAGGTGAGGTTAGGTGGCTGTATCTTGATATTGGTGTTGGGTACAGAAAATACATTATCTATTATTAAATGTTTGCCAACTAAGCAACGTGGTTTGTTACATTTGTAATTTCCTGATTGGTTTCTATTGTTTAGATATTTGGTAGAGGTGAGGATAGCTGATAGGATAGGTGATTGTTTCTTTGCAATTATGGGTGGTTTATAGAAAATGTCTTTGATCTTTTTGTCTAACTGGACGTTCTTGTAATCCTTTTTTAAATTGTGAATAAGTGTGTGGGAATATTGATTGTGGTTAAAAACCATGGGAATCCGATTGTTGTTTTTATTTTTCTTGTATGTGAGAAGTGTGTTACGATTTATCAGGATAGTTTTATTTAGTCTTTCTTTTATTATTTTTATTGAGTATTTACATTTTAGGAATTGTTTTGTTAAGTTATTAATGTTGTATAAAAAATCTAAATGGTCTGAGCATATGCGTTTGATTCTTAGAAATGATCTGTATACAATAGATTTTTTTTAATTTAAGGAGATGACAGCTGTTAAAGTGCAGGAATTTATGTTGGTTTGTGGGTTTGTTGTATAGACTGGTAGAACGTGTATGTTTGTTTAATTTTATCATAACGTCTAAGAAAGGGATGGATGTGTATGAGTGCTCCATGGTAAATTTAATTGTATCGTGGAAGTTGTTGCAGGAAGTGAAAAAGATTTTTAATTTTTCTAGTCCATGAGTCCATAGTAAGAAAATGTCATCAATATATCTAAAGTAATGTGATGGTTTATATTCTGAATTGTCTAGTATCTTCTTTTCTAGAATGTGCATAAAGATATTAGCATAACTAGGTGCCATTTTTGTGCCCATTGCTGTGCCACTAATCTGTAAATAGTGTTTGTTGTTGAATTTAAAATTATTATGTGTTAAGATGAAATTTATTAATTGGCATATATCTGTAATTTGGTAGTTAGGTAATTTTTTGTTACTAAGGAACTCATAGCAAGCTGATACTCCAACTTTTTCTATATATACATATTAAGAAAGTATACTTGGCTTCTCATTATGCTATATATATATATATATATATATATATATATATATATATATATATATATATACATCATTACTGGAATAGAAAGCTCCCTCCCAAAAGAATATCTAGAGCCATAGCAAATTTTTAACCCCTCTCCTTTGAACAATAAGTCGGTCTCAATCTCTTCATACCTATCTATATATCTATCTATTTATGTATCTAAGTGTATTTATAGATATGTATTTATTTATCTCAATCTGTTCATATCTATCTATCTATCTATGTGTTTCTCTCTGCATATTACATACTTTCGATATATATATCTATGAATATGTTCATGAAGTATCTATGTATATATCTATCTCTCTCAGTCTGTTCGTATCTATCTATCTTTCTATCTATCTATCTATCTATCACATTATTTTTAAATCTCTCTCTCTCTCTCTCTCTCTATGTTGCATCATTTCTCATCTATCTATCTATCTATCTATCTATGTGTCTCTTTCTGCATATTACATATTTTCGATATATATATATCTATGAATATGTTCATGAAGTATCTATGTATATATCTATCTATCTCAGTCTGTTCGTATCTATCTATCTATCTATCTATCTATCACATTATTTTTAAATCTCTCTCTCTCTCTCTCTCTCTCTCTCTCTCTCTATGTTGCATCATTTCTCATCTATCTATCTATCTATCTATATGTCTCTCTCTGCATATTACATATTTTCGATATATATATCTATGAATATGTTCATGAAGTATCTATGTATATATCTATCAATCTCAGTCTGTTCGTATCTATCTATCTATCTATCTATCTATCTATCTATCTATCACATTATTTTTAAATCTCTCTCTCTCTCTCTCTCTCTCTATATTTGCATCATTTTCATCTATCTATCTATCTATCTATGTGTCTCTTTCTGCATATTACATATTTTCGATATATATATATCTATGAATATGTTCATGAAGTATCTATGTATATATCTATCTATCTCAGTCTGTTCGTATCTATCTATCTATCTATCTATCTATCACATTATTTTTAAATCTCTCTCTCTCTCTCTCTCTCTCTCTCTCTCTATGTTGCATCATTTCTCATCTATCTATCTATCTATCTATGTGTCTCTTTCTGCATATTACATATTTTCGATATATATATATCTATGAATATGTTCATGAAGTATCTATGTATATATCTATCTATCTCAGTCTGTTCGTATCTATCTATCTATCTATCTATCTATCTATCTATCTATCTCTCTCTGTTATTTAACAGGCATAAACTCTGTCTATATCGTAGATTGTCCGACATCACTGTCTCTTTCTGTCTCCCTCTCTATCTCCTCTTGTTTACATTAGCTCTGTCTATCTCACTATGCAAAATTTTCGCTTACGTTTATTATCTTTTTTTACCGTTATCGTTTCAAACCTTCACAAGCCTTTTCTTCTCATCGGCTTTTAACTCGACAGATATTCCCGAAGAAGAATCAAAATAGTTAAGTTAATTTGAATCCTGAAAACCTTCTGATGTTTGATGTTTGGCAAAAGAGCAAATAACTAAACTTACACACTTTCTCATATATATATATATATATATATATATATATATATATATATATATGTAGAATTTTAGAGAATTTCCAAATCGTTGTTTCTGTGATTACTACGTTAAAGTAAGCAAGTTACGGCACCAAGAAGCAATTTCCAGTTGTCTATTGTTGAGTAATTTCAATCACAAAACGATAAGAACTGTAGTTACTCTGAAAAACTTTGCTTCAAATTTACGTCATGTTTTCAACCTTGACCTCCGGCTATCAGCGACCAATCACAAATGCTTATCGTCTTGTCGCCGCCCACTTTTTTTTTATTTGAGCCGGCCAGAGCAAATGCGATCATTTGGCGATCTCTGTCGGCGTTTCTGTGTGATCACTCATTAAGCCGATGACCACTTTCTACCTTTGAGACGTGTCTTCATCAAATTGCGAATCAAGTGTATGCGGATCAAAGCGATGGGTCACCATTTATTTTTGCCGTAAGGCTTCAGACGATAATACGGCTGAGTTTACGGTCCTTTCATCGAATGAAATGCTTTGAGCCGTGGCCAGAGGCAGCTCATCCCTTTACCGTCCTTTTTCTTTCAGAATTCTCTCTTCACCTCCTCTTTGCCTCGATCAAGATCATAGAAAAGTACCCCACCTCGCCTCCTCCCTCCCTATTGACGATATGCATACATACATATATATATATATATATATATATATATATATATATATATATATATATATATATATATATATATAAATATTAATGGTAAAATAAATCCGTAGGTACATAATCCAAGTGGGCCCAAGTAATATAAAAAAAATAATAAAACTCATCTATAAAGAGAGCTGGATATATATATATATATATATATATATATATATATATATATATATATATATATATATATATATATAATCATTAATATTAATACCATGGGTATATAATACAAGTGGATCCAAGTTATATATCAATATTAAAACTGATCCAGAAAATTGATGTACTTCATTTATCCAGAGAAAAAAAATATATATATATATATATTAATGGTAAAATAAAACTGATCCAGAAAATTGATGTACTTTATTTATCCAGAAAAAAAAAAAAAAATATATATATATATATATATATATATATATATATATATATATATATATATAAAATGGTAAAATAAATCCGTAGGTACATAATCCAAGTGGGCCCAAGTAATATAAAAAAATAATAAAACTCATCTATAAAAAAAGAGCTGGATATATATATATATATATATATATATATATATATATATATATATATTAATATATATATATATATATATATATATATATATATATTACCATTAATATATATTTATATATATATATATATATATATATATATATATATATATATATATATATATATATATATATATATATATATATATATATATAATCATTAATATTAATACCATGGGTATATAATACAAGTGGATCAAGTTACATATCAATATTAAAACTGATCCAGAAAATTGATGTACTTTATTTATCCAGAGGATATATATATATATATATATATATATATATATATATATATATATATATATATATATATATTATGTGGTACTGTTGTATGGATAGTAGTTTGTAGCCCGGGTTTCACGCTTTTGCGATCATCAGACAAACACAATTACGGGGTTACAAACTATAATGCATAGCTGAATATCTCTAATATCTATCTATCTATCTATCTATATATATATATATATATATATATATATATATATATATATATATACATTAGTTTATTTTAGGCAGAACATTATTTTCTCATTGTTTACTATTTTAAAGTTTCAGCACCAAGTTTCGAATTCTAGTTGTCCATTGTAATTAATTTGAATCACAAAATGATATAGATGGTCGTTTTACTGAAAAAAAAATTGCTTAAGAGTTATGTCAATTCTTCAATCCTGGCTTCTGTCTATCAGCGACCAATCAGAAATCCTTATCGTCTCATTGTGCCCCACCATTTTTAACTTGAGCCGCCATTGTGTTTTATGTGAAATTGTGCATATATTTATGTATATTTCGAGTTGCATTTCAGAAAATGACACAATTTATGATTAGACATGCAAATAGTTTAAATTTCGCAGTGTGAGTTGAAATATTTAAGGTGTTGTTTAATAATAAATCAAAATTTTCAAAATGATTCTACTTGCGAAATGTTCCATCTGAACGTTTTGTGAGTGAAATCCATGCACAAAAACTATATGACAGTTTTAAAATTGCAGATGACTTATAAATGAACAATAATTGATAAAATAAATAAAATTAAAAATAGATTTCAGAGTATTTATCATATTTAAAAACAAGAAAAATTGGAGGTAACATTTCTAAAATTAATAATAACTAAAAATGCTCCATCTAAGAAATTCAGACAACTTAAGACAATTACTACTTGGTGGAAAAACAAGAGAAATAAGATGAAAGAAATACTAGTGAAAAACGAATAATAATTAACAAGGCTTCATCTAAAAAATTCAGACAACTTAAGACTATTACTACTTGGTGGAAAAGCAAAAGAAATAAGACAAAGAAATTCAGACAACTTAAGAATTTTATTATTTGGAAGAAAAAAGTACAAGAAATTGGTGAATTAAATACTAGTTAAAAATTCATAATAATTGATAAGGCTTCATCTAATAAATTCAGACAACTTAGGACTATTACTACTTGCAGCAAGAGAAATAAGACGAAATAAATGCTAGTCAAAACATTATATCAATTCAAAATGCTTCATCTAAGATTTTCAGGAAACTTAAGACTATGCCAGCTTAGAATAAAAGCGAAAGAAATATGATGAAAGAAATACTAGTCAAATTTAATAATAAAAAACAAGTTTTCCTCTAAGAAATTCAAACAAATCAAGAGTATTACTAATTGGAGTAAGAGCAAGATGAATAAGATGAAAGAAATACTAGTAAAATATAATAATAATTAACAAGGCTTCATCAAAGAAACTAAGACAACTTAAGACTATTACTAAACACAATATTAAACTGGGAAATAAAATTGAGGACACAGCCAGGTCGTAAATCTCAGATTCAAATCTCAATATATGCTAACGAATAATTAATAATCATTAATTGTAAGAAGATATATGGTGTCGAGGAAAATGATGATTATCCATCAGACATCTTAAAATCAGCCAGACCCGATGCTTCAACCATCACAGCTGTTGTTTCGAAGGCATATATGATGGAGAAAAGCCCAGGTGAATCTGAGTTTCAAAAACATCTTTCTTTTTAGAAAGCGACCATGGCATTAAAAATTGAAAAAGTCATTACAATCGTAGAATGATTTGTAAATATTTAACCTACCTATCCATATAGGCAGTGAATGTCGTATCATTTAGCCAGATGTGAAAGTAGTACATGAAGCAAAGGAAATCTTATCTTTGTTTAAAAACTAGGAAGGAAACACTTTACCTTCCGTCTTAATTCAGGATGGAATCGTGTTAATGTGCAATGAGGAAACACATTCTGCAACGTTGCATTCAGATAAAATGAGGTCACCCTTCCTTATCAGATCAAATCACCTTCTAAATTATTTGCTGATGACACTAAACTATATCGTTGCAACAATGCCACAGATGACAGCTCGTTACCTCAAGATGATTTAAATTCACTTACAGCTTGGAGTTCGTTATGACATCTAAACTTCAATGCGTGTGTCGAGAATCAGAGACAAGTCGAAATACGCTTGCACATTAAATGGAGGTTGCCTTGTATTAAGTAAAAGAACATCAATGACAAAGAAGAGCGCTCATTAATTCAAGATGATTTAAATTGACTTTCAGCTTCGAGTTCCTTATGGCATCTAAAATCCAATGCGGGGAAATAGGCGTTGTGGTGGAGATCAGAGACGAATTGAAATAGAATTATACATTAAATGGAGTTTTAGCTTGATCAGGTAAAAGAACAAAGAGACTTCAGTATTCTAGTCTCACGTGATTTCTCTCCGAGATCACATATTTCTGAAATCGTAAACAACTCGAATCAAAACGTAAGTCTAATTAAACGTTGATTCACGAATCATATTCTAACAAAAGTTTAAAAAAATATACATCTTCTATTCAAGCAGTACTCGAAGATGGTCAATTGTTTCTGGATAAAAATAGAATCTACATTTCGGGCCAACACAAATCTTTCAGTATGTGTACTTGGTAATTTCTACTTAGGAAACATTGTACAGCAAGAATACAATGTTCGATTTCAGCATTTCATGCGTCACTGCGCAACCATTGATGAATATAAGGTGGTATTATTATTATTATTATTATTATTATTATTATTATTATTATCATCATCATCATAATTATTATCATCATTGTTATTATTATTATTTCCTTTGATTTCCGGCGTTTACACATTTCTTTCCGGCTCCCGCCCTGGGACCTAAGGTTAGAAATGGCATCATGACACTTTCCACTGCCAAAAAAATAAAAAATAAATAAATAAATAAATTACATAGATAAAGCCCTTAGTAAAGTGTTGGCTGTACTTGTCAGAACAATTTTTTGTATCTCCTTGAGGCATGGACTTCCAGGAATCCCTTCATTTAGTCTACTGCAATCGTTTCCAACCAGTCCTAGGGCTCCAACTACAACAGAGATTGTTGATGTTCCCATGTGCCACATTTTTGAGATTTCTATTTCAAGGTCCTTGTATTTTGACAGCTTTTTGAATATCTT